TAGGTTGGAGGCCATCCCTAGTAGGTTCAGGGCCATCGCTAGTAGGTCCGAAGCCATCGTTAGTAGGTTCGAGGCCATCGCTAGTAGGTTGGAGGCCCTATAGTAGGTTGGATGCCATCGCTAGTAGGTTGGAGGCCATCCCTAGTAGGTTCAGGGCCATCGCTAGTAGGTCCGAAGCCATCGTTAGTATGTTCGAGGCCATCGCTAGCAGGTTCGAGGACATCGCTGGTGGGTTGGAGGCCATGGCTATTAAAGGTTGGAGGCCATGACTAGTAGGTTCGAGGACATCGCTATTAAAGGTTGGAGGCCAGCGCTAGTAGGTTCAGGGCCATCGCTAGTAGTTTGGAGGCCATCGTTAGTAGGTTCGAGGCCATCGCTAGTTGGTTGGAGGCCATCACTAGTAGGTTCGAGGCCATCCCTATTAAAGGTTGGAGGCCATGACTAGTGAGTTCGAGGACATCGCTAGCAGGTTCGGCGCCATCGCTAGTAGGTTGGAGGCCATCTAGTAGGTTCGAGGCCATCGCTAGTAGGTTGGAGGCCATTGCTAGTAGGTTCGAGGCCATCGCTAGTGGGTTGGAGGCCATCGCTAGTAGGTTGGAGGCCATGACTAGTAGGTTCGAGGCCATCGCTAGTGGGTTGGAGGCCATCGCTATGAAAGGTTGGAATGACTAGTAGGCTGGAGGCCATCGCTAGTAGGTTGGAGGCAATGAAAAGTAGGTTGGAGGCCATCGCTATTAGGTTGGAGGCCATCGCTATTAGGTTGGAGGCCATCCCTAGTAGGTTGGAGGCCATCGCTATTAGGCTGAAGGCCATCGCTAGTAGGTTGGAGGCCATCGCTATTAGGTTGGAGGCCATGACTAGTAAGTCGGAGGCCATCGCTATTAGGTTGGAGGCCATCGCTATTAAAGGTTGGAGGCCATCGCTAGTAGGTTCCAGGCCATCGCTAGTGGGTTGGAGGCCATCGCTATTAAAGCCATCCCTAGTAGGTTGGAGGCCATCGCTATTAGGTTGAAGGCCATCGCTAGTAGTAGGTTGGAGGCCATCGCTATTAGGTTGGAGGCCATGACTAGTAGGTTTCAAGCCATCGCTATTAGGTTGGAGGCCATCGCTATTAAAGGTTGGAGGCCATCGCTAGGAGGTTCGAGGCCATCACTAGTGGGTGGAGGCCATCGCTATTAAAGGTTGGAGGCCATCGCTAGGAGGTTCGAGGCCATCACTAGTGGGTGGAGGCCATCGCTATTAGGTTGGAGGCCATCGCTAGTGTTTTGGGCCATCGCTATAAGGTTGGAGGCCATCGCTAGTGGGTTGGAGGCCATCGCTATTAAAGGTTGGAGGCCATGACTAGTAGGTTCGAGGCCATCGCTATTAGGTTGGAGGCCGTCGCTATTAAAGGTTGGAGGCCATGACTAGTAGGTTGGAGGCCATCGCTATTGGGTTGGAGGTCGTCGCTTTTCAAGGTTGGAGGCCATCGCTAGTAGGTTGGAGGCCGTCACTAGTAGGTTGGAGGCCATCGCTACTAGGTTTGTGGCCATCGCTAGTGGGTTGGAGGCCATCGCTATTAAAGGTTGGAGGCCATCGCTAGTAGGTTGGAGGCCATCGCTAGTAGGTTGGAGGCCATCGCTAGTAGGTTGGAGGCCATCGCTAGTAGGCTGGAGGCCATCGCCATTAAAGGTTGGAGGCCATGACTAGTAGGTTCGAGGCCATCGCTAGTGGGTTGGAGGCCATCGCTATTAAAGGTTGGAGGCCATGACTAGTAGGTTGAAGGCTATCGCTATATTAGATTGGAGGCCATCGCTGCTAGGTTCGTGGCCATCGCTAGTGGGTTGGAGGCCATCGCTATTAAAGGTTGGAGGCCATCGCTAGTAGGTTGGAGGCCATCGCTAGTAGGTTGGAGGCCATCGCTATTAGGTTGGAGGCCATCGCTGTTAGGTTGGAGGCCATCGCTGCTAGGTTCGTGGCCATCGCTAGTGGGTTGGAGGCCATCGCTATTAAAGGTTGGAGGCCATTGCTATTAGGTTGGAGGCCATTGCTATTAGGTTGGAGGCCATCGCTAGTAGGTTGGAGGCCATCGCTAGTAGGTTGGAGGCCATCGCTATTAAAAGGTTGGAGGCCATCGCTAGTAGGTTGGAGGCCATCGCTATTAGGTTGGAGGCCATCGCTAGTAGGTTGGAGGCAATGAAAAGTAGGTTGGAGGCCATCGCTATTAGGTTGGAGGCCATGACTAGTAGGTTGGAGGCCATGGCTATTGGGGTGGAGGCCATCGCTAGTAGGTTGGAGGCCATCGCTATTATATAGGTTGGAGGCTATGGCTATTACTTTTTCGCTTGCTTCCAAGCACGAAGCAGCAGAAATCCCTGCACTGTGCGTGCCAGGACCTTGGAGTCGGAACAGAAACGTGTACTGCACATGAGGTCAGTATATCACCTCAAACTCAGGAGCCAACAGCAAAAATAGACTTGCAAAACACTATGAACAAGGAAGTCTAGAACCATACCAAAGAATCCAACCTGATGCTACAGTCCTGGACCCAGCTAGCAAACAAGACCAAAATGCAAGTCAACTTCAAAGCTCAAGCACCTGACCAAAGGTTGACGTTCGGCCACCTGTTCCTTGCGTCCGCTTGCGTCCTGGCTCCATCAACTGTGAGCTGGCAGCAAGTGAAAGCTGAACTCATGAACGCAGCATCCCGCTCTCCTTCCCGGCATTTGCTTCACCCTCTTTCCTGCCAGGTGCACCAGTAATTTGTTTGTCGATTCAACGGGAATGCCTCCTCAACCCAAGGACTGCGCTGACTGAACCATCCGTGTCCCAATGTTGTCCCACTGTTGAGGTGGCTTCCACTCGTGCCCCTGTTTTTAAATCAGGGTGCCACCACTTTCATTTTGCAACCCTAGGTACTAGGTACAGTAGCTCCTCAGGCGAGCATGCGGCGAGGATGCCCTGTTTTTTGTGAGTGGCGCATGGCTTTCTTGCCTCAGATCGATAAAACGGCAGGTGTTGTGAAAGAGGATCACACCAAAACAAATTTGTCAATTCATTGACCTGTCGGCTCTCAAATTCACAAAGAAGGCGAAAGTCTGGGGTTGCCACGCCATCTTCAAGTCAACTCTTTGGCTTAATGAGTCCAAGCTTTTTGTCTCAGTAATCAATACAGTATCTCTACCTCCTTTTGTTTCTGTTTTGCAATGCCTTCACGTTGTTGACGCGTGGCTAGTCCTTCATCTCTTGTGGTGGTGTCACATGAGTATTGATGATGTTTGTTCAAGCTAAGCCTACACCTGAAGTTTGAACGGCAATAAGGAAAGTGGATCGGCAAATTCACTGACAGAACGCTCCTACTCCTTGGAGCGTTCGGCGCCCCCCTTGTGCAAAAGAATCTCCAAACTCATCTGGTGGAGAAACATCATGGTTGAATCGAGCACAGGCTTATATTCTATATATTCTAGGTATGCATTGTTTTCTTCTTGTTTGTTACGATCATGCAGAGACCCGGGGCGGTGAAGTCCAAAACGCTCAAAAACTGGCAAGCCGAAAGTGGAATTGAAAGACCATCTGAGCTTTGATTCTGGCCATGCAGCCCAGAATTAGGACCTGAGGCTGTGCATCGGTAACTGTAACGCTACTACCGCCACAACTACCACTACCAATACTCACTCAAGCGACTACCAACACTACCAATACCAGTACAAATAAACCTGCGATGGCGACGACGACGGCAACAACAACAACTACTACTACTACTACTCCTCCTGCTGCTACTGCTACTGCTACTAACAAGTGCGTTTTCAACGCAATGAACCAAAAAAGAATTACTTGGGAGGTGGTCTATTTCCAGGATTTCCAAACAAGTTGCATTGCCATAATCATTTTATACTATATAGGTGGTCACCTTTTATGTTGAAACTATTTTGACCACTTTGACCTTCACATGAGCATTGTTTTGAAACTCACACACCACCCACCTGACTGAAATAATTGGAAGCCGTAATTATGCTGCAGATACTATTTTGGAAGGTCACCCCCACCTCCAAGTAATTTTCCAAGGCATGGGGTACGTTTTTTGTGATCGCGTTTTTCTGCAGCAGAAAACATAGCGATTTGCGAGGATTTCTAGGCCCTCCGTTTTCGTCCGGGAGGGCCTCCAAGCCTCCGCCCCTGTGTCCCTGCGTTTCGAAAATGTGTCCGTGCGGCGCATTCTGGCACATGTCCTAAAGTCGAGGTGATGATGAAGAACACGAAGAGCGGAAGAACGATTCTGCAGCTGCTGAGTGTTTCTATGCCTACGAACCCTCTGCCAAGCACAGGCACAAGGCAACAAAAAAACACTGTATAGAAGCTGCGCTCAACCTACCAAGAAGAAAAGGGTCACGCAGAGCAGCAAGGGCAGATTTCTCGATTTCTGACCAAATCTGGCTGACGGTGTGCGAGGAAAGAAAAGATCCCTTCCTTGAAGCCGACACCCTTGTAGTTGAAACATGTTGAAACCATGACAGAGTTTGAGGGATGGCACTGGCAGTACACCACTTCCTGTTGTCCATGAGGACGGGAGGGTGATGAGCTGGAAGATGCGGACATGAGAACTGTCAAGGAGTGGATGTGTGCAAATCTCTTTTCACCAAAGCAGGTGGATGCGAGATTTCAGAAGCCTCAAGCAATTCTTCCACCAAGCCCTGCTGAACAAAGCAGTGCTCAAAGTCACGCAATCGTGCAGGTTGAACCAAAGAGCGGACACAAGAGCACGTAAAGCATCTGTGGATGAGCTAAAGGAGAAAGACAGGAACATCTGCAGGAATAGATCTTACTCCGGAAGGCGAAGCACAAAAACTGGTATATACGTGTCATGTGGGACAGGTGTAGCTGAAGGCAAGGAATGTTCATCCTTGTGCATCTAAACCTCGGTACAAGTGAGCAACTGGTTTCCCTGGAAGCATGCCAGGAGGCAGTTTGAGTTCAAGGGTGTCTTGGGTGTAGTGGCCGCCTGGCAAGAAATTTTTGAGAACTGAAGCCTGAAGTTGCTTGAAAGATTCGTTGGCACCTGTGGAACTGCAAGATCCCAAATCAGCGGGTGCAAGTATGAAGGACAGTCACAGAAAATGGCAACCACTTTCGACAGGGCAATGTTTAAGGCAAAGGTTAAAATGAAGAAGAGGATGGCCTGCACCGCTGTCTTCCAAAAAGTTTTAATGCAGAGCTTGTGCGTGACATGAGCAAAAAACAAAGGAAATGGGACCGGTCCTTCATCGCAGTTTAGACCTTGTGACAACACTGAGCGACAGGAAGGGACAGGGTCGGCCACAACAAAAATTGTCACCAATGGCACAGTACTCATAGAGGGAGATGTACTCAAAAGCAAAAATACCCCTTCCAAGCTCCAAAAGGACCTGCAGGCTGGAGCTTGGTTTGATGCTTGGGTCCTCTGACCCCCGTTCATCCATATACACCACTTCAAACTGAAGTCTGTCTAAGGGTGTGGGGCAGATAATCTCACCCGCGCGATGCCATTGCGTCGAGTGCGGAAAGTAGTCGCGCGATGTATCACAAGGCTTTTCAAGTTACTCGCAGTGAATCGTCACGGCTTCTCTCTTGAGCCAAACTGTCCCGGTGGAACATTTTGGTGACTTTTGTGAACATAAAACTTGCAACCGCAAGCTAAATGCAAGTGTGAATATATATATATATATATATATTATATATATGGATGTAGGTGTAGGAAGGGTAGGCAAACACTATCAGTTAGGGAATTCTGGGGTTTGTTCCTTCACGGACTGCCAAATATGTGGGAAGCGAAGTATCAGCACAACAGCCCTTGGCGTCAGGGCAGCGTAGCACAGCAAAATGATACTACAAAATGATACAAAATGATGCTCTCTGCTGGTGGGCTGAATTGGCGTGATGAGCCTTGGGCCAGGCGGTGTTCGAATGGGGCAGCAGGGCCTGGGCCTGAAGTCGGATCTATTTTACAATTGGTGTTCACACGTTTGTGGAAATGTCGACTAGTACTTTCCTGATGATGTTTGGTCACAATAAGTACGAATACTCTGTGACGGCTCATTGTTGCGTGCCAAACCACAGCGCCAAAAATTAGACTTGGCAGGAAGGATCGCCATGTGGAACAGGTCAGCGTGGCATGATACCCCAGTGTCCTGAAACCTAGATAAAGACTCTGAACGAAGAGTGCCAATATTTAGAGCGTTCTTTGAAGTATAGGGCTTCTAGCATTCTCAAGAAGACCCAAACGGTTGGCCTTTTCTTTTATTGTTTCAATTGCTCGCCTTGAGTATGAAAAAACACTGACAAGGTGAAAAAATTGAAGTTCTGCTAGTCTTCTTGTATGTGGATCATCTGGCCTTTGAGACAGATGCCTTGGACATGTCAGTCTCGACTTGATGTTCTTTGAGGCCGTTTCATTTGACCAGAATAATGTGTGAGCAATCCAAGACCGAGAGGTCCCAGGAAGGTGGACGTTCTCCAAGCGAAGGAAAACAAAGCCGGCAAATCAGTCTGAGGCTGTTTTCCAATGATTCTCCGGTGCTTTCACAATGTCATTAGCCGATGTGCTCCAACCTATCCATAGTCATGCTTGGCACAACCAGGTATTGAAGCCTTGAGTTGGCTATGCTGAGCCAACTCGGAGCATTATCAATTCCATTTCAATACCCGCAAGTCGCACACGTTGATTAAACCTGCTGATTAAAACAATGCCAAGTCTGCTGCTGCTTAAACATTGATCGCACTTTCATGACATAAACAAAAACGTTGCAAATGCGGGCTCGAAACAGCAGCCGGCATCCAGCCCCTCGACTGGATTGAAACTGCTAAATCCATTATAGAAACCTAAGCATCTTGAAGCTCAAGTTGAGAAGCCTTGAGCAAAGGTCCTGCGAGCGAGCAATTTCTGGTGAAACCCATGGAAACTTTGTGAAATGCATGGGGGGAGTACTGCACGTATTTGCAGTGCTCTAGGAGTTGCATCAGCACACACTTCGGACTGTGAGCATTGTGGTTTGCAAAAACGCATGAGTAAATAGGCTGAGAGGGACCCCAGACTGCTCATCGTTCCCAGTAGTCGCACGAACTGAAACTTCCTGGTACCCGCGGACACGTTTTGCTTTATACTATATACACTTTGCGGATCAAACTGTTCTCATTGGCATTACACAGGGTTGCATTTCAAGCTAAAACAGCACGGTTTCTATCCGATGTGGCGGACAAAAAAAGCTGGAGTTGGAAGGGATGCCTCAAAACCCTTGATGTTCTGCATCTTCCTCCTCGTTCCATTTAGTTTTGGAGCCTTCTCTCGTCAAGGCGACGAATGCACCATGTTGACCACACAAATATGAGTATACACTATACACACGCATGCGTTTCTTTTGATTCTTTTTAAGGGCTTGTGTGTGCAAATGCCGGGCGGGTGGACGGTTTTGTCGATTCCTCGAGATATGCAAGCTTTATGCATGCAAATGCATAGAATACACCCATTTTCGGCAACAAAAAACGGCCCGTAGCTCACTTTGACCGTACACATCGACAAACACTCAATTCACTCAAGGAAGGACGTCCATTCGTCCAGAGGTTACGTGGTCGTGCGCCAGGCGTTGTGTGGCGTGCCCCTGACTTCGCATTCTGACGACTCATTCCCATTCCGTGAGGACGCACTGCACATTGTGGTTTAAATAGTAGACCTGGTCTGGTTCCATATTCCAGATAACATTTGTTTGGTGTTCTCGCAGCTTGTGAGTCTTTCTGTATTCCTTGATAATCTTCAGTTTCAAGCTAGTCGAGCATGATCACTGGTCACAATGGCATGTGTCGCCTGTCTTTCATTTGTCTTTGCATTGCATCCTTCTGCTTTAATCGAGGGATGGCACACTATGTATATCCTTGTCTTCCAGTTTGGTAATGGCCTCCAGTGGTTGGACACGAAGCTAGCGTTGAACAATTCGCTGCCCAAAAAGAAAGAACAACTGACACTTCCCTAATCTAGCGGTCATACTTGCTAAACATTTGCACAAACAAGGGTATTGGATGGTATTGGATGGTATTGGTATCTGCTTAGGCACTGACACCGACATCTTACAGCACCTGTCTCTCACAGCCCTTGGAGCTCCTCACAGCTCCAGTCCGATGCACGCTTCGTCTGGAAGACGCACCGATGAACACCAAAGTTTGGTACGATATAAATGAAACATTGTGCCTAGAGACATCTTCACACCAAACTGCGCCTTCCAAGCCCAAGGGTCACCTCTGGTTCAGCAACTTGCTGGTGAGCTCACAATTCCCAAGTTCTGCGCCTGAAGCCGCCGCTCCAGCCCTGGCGATAAGAACGCAAGAAGCTTTTGGAGCCGCTTCTGCCTTCTGACCGTTCTGACCCGGCTTCGTTTTATCCGACTTGTATCATCTCTATCCGACTTTATCCATCTCTCCTGGCCTGTACACCTTGTGCACCCTGTGCACTGAGCCCAGCCCTTGGATCGATCATGCGGCAACGGAGCCAGTCACCAATAGGAGTGGGGAAAGTGACCAGGTTCACCAAAAAATATCTGTATAAAGTCTTCCTTGCATCAAAAGCAGGCTCAACAACAGATCCAATAGATCCTCTCGGCACTCTGCGGGGCATAGCCACATCCTGCCGCCTCGAGCACACACCGATGAAAGGTCTACTTTTCAGAAACATAACTGCAAAGTCTGAGTCCAAAGCCGGAGGAAAGCCACAGGACCCGGCCTTGGCCGCTAGATAACGACAGTGGAGGAGGATATGGATAATGGTAAGACAAACAGTGAAGTAAATGCCAGCACCGCCATTGCTAGCCATTAGCCATACACATGGCAAACAACTGGCTCTACCTGAATCACTGTCTCGCAACCACTTACTTTCTCAGTGTCTTTGGTGGAATATTACTCAAGCCCTAAACCTTGATAAGCTTGCCATAGGCACAATCAAGTTTGCAAGTGTGCAGGTGCATTCAAACAACAGTCGGCTGCTCCAGTTTCACATTCGGCGTGCTTTCTCACAGGACCCGCACTGGTGCCCCAATTCCGAAGTCATCTCCACTTGGCCCCCATTGTGCGTCAGCCTTAGAAATCGCATCAACCTGCAAAACCTTCGAAGACATAGACTCCTTTGAAAACATCTTGAGACTTGGGCCGGTCCCAGGCCAAAGCCACCCTGGGAGGCTCAGGGGAAGGTATAGTACCAATGGCCCAACGGCGGATATTTGGGCACGTTTGCAGTCACTTTGGAAAAATGCGTCGACCCGAGAATCAAACACCAGAGCAACCAGCGCAGCCACTGCAGCCACCATAGCCTGGCCTTGGAGTTCTGGGCCATCCATGTGAAGCAAAGTCCAAAAAGTCAGCAAAGCTGAGGAGCTGCGGAACGGCCTAAGGCCGTTCCCCTACGGGAAAGTGAAATTAAAAGGAAAACATCTTGCTCCAGAAGCTTCATTCTCTGCACCCTGCCATCTAGGCGGCTGGGCATGTAGGCTGACGCGCCGCCATTAGCATAGGGATCGCCATTGGCGATGTTCAGCCTGAAGCAGAGTCCAGAATGCAAGCACCTTTTCTTGAAAGCACACTTGCCGTTAATTAAATAAACTCACTTCAACTTGAGGCTTGGCAGCAGGCGGGGCTTGGATGGTTGGGGGGCACTGCTGCAGCGCAGGCTGGTGCGCGTACTGTTGCGGGTGGCCACACGCCTTGGACCAGCTGGGCCCTATGCCTTGGCGTAATAAGCAATATTCCTCTGCCTTCTCTGGGTCACCAGCTCCGCATCCCTGAACGCCTTGCAAGCAACCTGCCATCGGCCTCAACAGAAGCAGGCGTCCGAAGCCCAATGCATTATTCTACATTTGTTTCGATGGCAGGCTTCAACTATGTAGAATGCAGATCCCCACAGCGCTACTCTCTGCTACTCTCTGATGCTCTCCTGCCTCTGGGGTTCCATGGGCTGAAGCGGCTGAAGGGGGGCCTGCACTATAAGTTGGACGGGACAGTGTTCATTCAGCGTTCATTGAGTGTTCATTGGTGTTCGTTGGTGGCACGAGTTGACAAAGAAAGAGAACCTGAGAACCGTTGGAGGCGCTTGGTCACTTGATGTTCTTGACCCCTAGCAAGTACAATGACTCACATCGCTTGCAAGTCACGGTCAACATCGGTCAACATGTTTTTGGCCCGTAAAGCTCCGGCCATTTTCACCACGTTGGAGTTCAGCTTCGTGGCAGGCACCCAACCTCAGCTAAACAGTAGAAGACACCCTGTTGTAGATCGGGAAAGAACTTGCTCAGCGCCTGCTCATCTTCAAAAAGAGTTCGTGCAGCATCACTTAATGTGCTCAATCAAACAGTTTTAGAGTTCTTGCGTGAAGGCCTTTTTTGTCATCAGCAAGTTTGAGAAAGACCTCAGAACTGCTTGAGACGAAATGCTGCCATTTTGCCAGTAGAACCTTCAATCGCTTCAATGCCTTGCAATGCTTACATTTGACGCCAAATCTTAGGTGGCGGCATCATTGGCAGAGGTTGTCACCCTCTCCGAGATGCTGACTCGCTGCCTGTGCTCTCACGTAGCAGAGGTTGTCTACCCTAGTAGGATATTTGCACTTTGAAACCTTCATGTCTGAAGGGTTGCATATTGCTGTGTGCCGAAGAGCACCACAAACCGTTGATATTCACACTGAGATCCCGAGCCGATATTTCAGCCGTTTGCCCTTGTTCTTGGTATTGGATCGAGTTGGTGTTTCTCGAATCTGTGCTCCATCCTGAGGTGAGCTGTACGCATTGAAGAGCGACACTCTGCTTGGAGCAAAAGAATGCAAGCCGTGTGAGTCTGACCTCGTGTTATTTGTCACGTGGCTAAATTACTCTCACCCGGAAGGACACCTTGTCATTGCAAACGTAGACCCACTGGTGGAGCTCTCGCACCACCAGGTCGCACGCAATCTGACAATCATAGAAACATAGCAAGAAGATCAAGAAGCAAAGGAAAAAGGAAAACCAATTGCAAACCTGAAAAGGACACACTGGAAAATCTACGGACCGGCACTCCATGCTTGGCACTTGACCAAGGATTGCACAGTAGTGTAAAGCAGGCCTTCTCTATCGGAAATGGGTTTTGAGAAGCAGAAGCCAAAACCGCAAAAGCAACTCAACGGGCTCACCCTTTGTTGTTGAAGAAAAACATCAACTACAAACGCCCATCCGGATTCACTGACGCTTGTCAGCCTTGCCACTGGGGTCATCCCTTGCGACCCAACCATCTGCTAGCCTGCCACTGCGGAAGCAGACCAAACTACAGTGCAAAAGCAACAGACTTCGTAGACTACAGTGCTACCGCAGTTCTACCGCAGTGCTACTGCTTGCAGACTTGAATTGAAATTGGCTATCTCCAAAGTGCTCCACTTCGCCTGTAGTAAGTTTGTCCAGCCGCCTGCAGCTGTTCCATTGCCTTCCACAACATTTTGCGACGTCTCAATTTGTTGGATGTCTTTCCGGACGGCACACACGGAATTAAGACCTTTCTTCCTTTCAGTGTATTCAGTGGACCCACATAATACCATCTGCGTGCCGGAGTAACGTCTGCAGGACAAAAGTAAGAAAAAGTGCCTGGCCTCCAGAAAGTCGCCGCAGCTCAGAGTTTTGCCCAGGTTTCGATTCCTGCATCTCTTGGTGGAACCGGGAGAAAAGAAGAGAAAGTGAAACAAACGGCTAAAAATATGCGCTCCAGGGCGCTCCACAAAAAGAATTATGGCATGCGTGCTCTTGCACTTCATGTGTTTGATCTTTTTATCGGTGCTCGACATGTTTTGACCTGTGTCAACAATCAACATAAAAGAGCACAAGGTTTGCTCACGCGTTGTGTCGCTCCCAGGAACTGGAACCATGAACCGCCCCCCCTCCGCACCTGCCAGGGCCCTGAAGGAGCTGCACTGAAGACTTGCTAACGACAGAGACCCAGCAAGGCCTTTGCAAAGGTCGCCACACACCGAACCAACCATATGCAAATAATGTGTGTTCACAAAATCTGTCAGGAAATTTCAGGAAAGATTGTGGCACCAAACGTGAACATAACAGTCACAAGAAGCTAGGAAACTTTCTCGTGGTTTCTGTGCTGCGTGCGTATAAGACTGTCATAAAGTCCCAGCCTTCCTCGATGTCTTGGGTCGTGAAACCCGGCCTCGCACAAAGGCATAACGCACAAAAACATGGCGCCAAAAGCGAGGAAACAAATCCTACAGCAGCCCAATACAACTGCTACCCAAAGTAACAGATCCCGTCCACCACATATGATATCCTGCGATTCTTAATCACGGGGGCATCGGTTGGGGCAAGTTCTCAAATCGTTGTAGGGTCGCGTTCGCATGTTCAAAACGAATTGCATTTCTCGGGAGTATTGACGGTTGCTCATTGTCGATTTGGAAGCGTATGTCATTTCACGTGTTTCTAGCTGAAGTCTGATAGCAGTCCTTGCCAACAGCACATCAACTTCAAATGCTAACATGATGGAGTAAACTTATGCACCTGAACAGATCGGAGTAGCCTCTACATTGGCGTCCAGGTCATGGGCAGGCCAGAGAATGGGTTCTATGATGCGCGACTGTGGGCTCCAAACATGACAGGAACAGCCTGCCTAGCCTGAAATTCGCACAGGACTGGCTCTCCTTGGTTGCTCCCTTTGATGCCGCAGTGCATCCTGACAGAAGCTTCATTTATGGTTGTCTGCGATCTTGGATTGAACTCAATGAACACCAACGCAAGAATACACCAAAGCTAGCATCCGCCTTTAAGTGAAATCATCTTGTGGCCTCAAATCTTGTCATATGTGGACCGACGTGTCTTTCCAAGGTCAAAAAGGTTCGAAGGAAACCGAAGGAAACCGACGGAAAATTGCAAACGCGCAACTAAATACGTGCAAATGCAAATGCTTGCAGGGTGGTTCGCTGAAGTTGGACCCTTCACCGCTAAGGCCTGGTATAACGACCCAACACATCCCAACACGTTGCAAGTTGAAAGTGCATAAAACGACATGTAAACTCTTTTTTTGTAAACCCCATTGCTCAAAAACTTTATCAGGCTCTCTCCCAAAACGACCCACCTCAGCTCTCCAAGCCAGCCCTCGATCTTCCGTTCATCTTCCACCTGGGGTGCTTGTGCTTGAAAAGCAAACCTTAAGCTTCACCAATTCCCTCCAAATGTGAAACAAATCGAGCCCTTACTGTACTTGTCTACACTCTAGACTGATCTGATGCTAGCATTCAAGAAATGCAATCTTGTCTGTGGAACCAGCGATAGTAGAATTCATACCCTGGCTCGATTTAACGTCTCCGTTCAGAATCCGAAAAGTCGGAAGGTCAAAAAAAGTTGAAAAAGTTTACCTTTTGCCTCCCGTTCTTGCACAAATGCCACGATCTCTCGGACCACAGAAGATCAAACTCAGATGTGAGGTTTTGCACTGCGTGCTTTGATAGTACCACCACACACCCAAGCATCCTAAAAATGTGTTTATCCATGTTTATCGTATTTTATCTTCATGTCTTGACCCAGCAACCCCCAGACATGGTGGCCAGCCTACAGCAAAACCATGACAACCACCCCATAACCACTGTTGCTCGATCAGCTACTCCATCATTTTTTGACCAAAATCAACTAGATTTGTCATTGGGATAGGGCACATATCGCAGTAAAAACATTGTCCAGGTTGTCTTCACTATACCTGAATTGAAGTGAGCCATGGAAGCAACCCTGAAATCACAAGAAAACCCACCAATGAATCTACTTTTGTTACGTTCATTAGGGCAGCGCAAAAGAATCCAGAAACTTCAAAATTCCAAGCACCCAACACCAAAAGGTGGAACCAAAAGAAACCCACACCATCACCACTACCTTTTGCCTTCTCGCCAAGGACACCCCAGGAACAGACCCAGATAAGACAATTGCAACGTCAAACATGTCTGGACAACCTGTACCAAGCACGCGTTTTCCGAACGCATAGCCAAGGATTCTAATTCAACGTGGGCCCATTGCAGAAACCTTCTGGAGGTGGTCATCGTTTGGCTGCACAGGTGCAGCGTGGTGTTTTGAAGGTGTTGAATGTTGCTGTGCCACAGGGAATTGCTCTTGAAGGGCTTCCTTCCAAGCTGTGTTTTCGGTTTTCGTGGCAAGTCTCAGCTAAAATTACAGTATGATATTTGATGATGTGGGTGAGTTGGGCAAGTGCCAAAACCATCCCCAAAACGCGTAGTATGGAGCGATCAAGTTGAAGAAACAAGGAGCAGAGAAAACAAACCAAAGCGATCTCGGATCACATCTTTTGTTTGCAAGCCGCTTAGTGTCGCTTGTGCTTTTGTTTGCCAAAACTCGTGTTGTAACAACGTCAGCATGTCGTCGAATCTGCACCTTGTAGTATCTTGCCCAAGTCTCCTTCTTGCGGTCTGTTGGCGATGGTAAAAGCACCTGCACCTTCACACGGCAAGTGGCCAAAAAAACACTCAAGCTGAAAGTAGACTATGGGTTAAGCTGAGCTGTTGTTGTTGTTGACATTGCTGTATACCACTGGGTTCATTTATCTGTCTTCGGGCTGTGCTTGCCAAAGTCTCAAGACGAGAACACAAACAAAACTGTTTTGAAGGAAGGTCCACAACTCCCGTAGTTGGAGCACTGCATACTGGGTTGAACACCCTTGCTTCAATTTATGCCCTAGAAACTCTTAGATTGATCGTATAATCTGCGGTCTGGGGCTTTGCCAAACCTTACGAAGGATAGACACCACCATGCCAGCCAACCTTGACGCACACACTTCACATCTGCATCTCTTTAACAAGTTGCCGTCAATATGGACTAGTCAAGTACAAAACTCCAACTTCCTCAGAACCAGGCAATTGAGGCGCACCAGCCACTGCGGCAAATGTCATTGGCGCTGGAGACAGCATGACCTGACTGGCGACAACTTGACGAGTGGCGTCACATCAGTGGTTTCGTCATTCCAGGTCCTGATGTCGGGTCATCAAGAGGTACTCGAGCTTCCGCTACCTGCTAGCCTTTGTGATTCATAACGCTTCATAACCCCCTGGTAGCGTTCTTTCAACACTGCCCACCTTTAAATGCTTGGTCTATATATATATGTGTGTGTGTGTATATATATATATATACATGTAAATGATGGGCGAACATGTGGGTTTTCTGTGGTGGGGCTGGAGGAACTTTTGAACAGCTTTTGGATCAACTTTATTCTCGATCATCTCCCTATAACAATTCCAGCTTTCAATTGATTCAATTCTGAGAAGTCGCAAAGGTTCCAAGTTCTGAGCCACACGACTGGTTTCTCCAAGCGTGGGTCTACTATCAGCTTCTGCTTCATATTTGGATCCTGAGGCCAAAGGTTTTGGGTTGATTGGTGAGTTGATGTAGGTCCTGCCAGTACCAAGGAAATTGCGAATCACATTACGAGGTTCCTAATGTTTTGTGCTGTTCACGTCACAAGTGAAAGCTGCTGCCGTCCTGCACGCCTTCTGTGTTCACTTCTGACACGTGCCGTTTAGAGGACCTTGCAAGCAGGACCTGTTTAATCTGCTGATTGGACTTCAAGCCCTCAAACCAACTGTTTTGGCTCACTTCTCCATCAGCCAGCCGCGGCCGTCCATGAGGCACAGCCTCAGAAGTCCGCAGCAGTGTGCGCAACGATATTTCCAGGTATATATCAACATGTATCCACCACATCACCACAGGTTTCCTCCAGGCAGCCACAGTTTCTGCCCCAACATCCCGCGCTCGCAAATCCTCAGCAGGAGCTGAAGTTGTTGCAGTGTTTGATTGACATTTCAGTTCAAACCTCAAAGCATGAACACATGAACAATGCATGCATTCGCGCACATCAAAGCATGCAGTCCTGATCAGCTCGCCGGGCTGTACTGCCTGGCCATTCAATCAAGAAGAACTTCAAGCACGCAAAGCAAAATATATATTTCCATTGACAACTAGCAGCTATGTGCTTGGCCCATCTAAACACGCCCAAGGTGTCCGGTGCACCAAAACATAGACATGCCCCCACAACACTACGCTCTGAGCTGCAAAAGGCGAAGGAGAGAGAGAGGGGAGGGGAGGGGAGGGGAGGGGGGGGGGGGGGGAGGAGGGGGGTGAAAGAGTGACTAGGGCGTACACGGTTGAGGTGCAGACCGCTAGTGTCTTTTATGCGCAGAGTCTTATCCTCTTAGCGTCTTGAGCCTTGTGGCAGTCAAGCATGGACACACTAGATAGGCCACTGGAGTGGAACCTGTACAAGTAGGCCTCTACATTTCAGCAGGCACAAATTCATGTCCACTCCTGCCTATTGCGTATGTCGCACACTATTTTTCTACCGTAAGGCTAAAACAGTCCAGCAAGCTCTAGTAAGCTTAAAAAGGAAACTACGGTGCCTTGTACTTACCCATTCCAGTGTTCGGTCACTCTAGAAAAGGTAATCTCAAGGTATACTAGATACAGTGAGAGAGCGATAGCTTACTCACCTCAAATACAAAGTCAAAGACAATGTATCTCGGCTGGAGACTGTATCGTTCACCGGCGAAGATACCATGTACCGGCGCTCAATAGCCCTTAAATAGCCAGAGCTTCAAAGAAACTTAAATTCGAAGGAAAGCGGCTTTCTTACACAGAGACCTGTAAAAGCAGTAAACGACACTCGCGTAACGAAAGAACTAAAAATTCAAGACCGCACAAATGTAATGAATTAAGATGCCTTGCAAAATGCAAGGAGCGTCTACTCTCGGTCCGAGGAATGGTATTGTCAAAAAGTGGTCTCGGCCGCTTTCATAAACTGCATCAAAAGGACTCTTACTCTCATTGACACCAAAAACAAAAATGAAGGAAACACCGCCAAATTTATGTACAGAACTTGCACTACAATTGCAAACTCATAAAATGACTTAATCATCAACCATGAATGGTTGTCCATTAGAGGTCATTTCATAAAGAGCGACTGTGGTAAATATCATCAGTTTTGAAAAACTGTCCATATCTACCTGCAGATAATATCTGTTTTGTAAAACTGTATTTATCTGCATGCTAAAGTGTAAAACTTCAGCCTGGCAACTTAAAGTCAAGCCTGGAAGCAAAGTATCAACTGTGATCAGAAGTATCTTCACTTCCTAGCTATCATTAAAAGTTAGCCTTTGCTCTGAGGTTATGCCGCTGCAGTCGATGGAGCTGCTTGATCTGAAGTTGGCGGCCTTCCTTTCCTTTTATTCTCTTTCTGTTTCTCCTTCCTCCGCAAGTTAGCATCTCGAAGAGTCTCTCCCGAGCGATAAAGTCTTCTGTCTCCAGATGAAAAGGAAGCTGGTCTGAGTGAAATAAACATTGGACCATGACTGTCATCGTCAGAGGGTTTGGAGCACATAATCTCCTGGTCAACCAAAGCAAAGTTCTCTGAAAAATTACAGATGAAGTCCTTCGTGCTCACTGTGGAATTTGTATATTCCTCTTCACTCATCGAATGACCCCATTCAACAATGGTAGACAAACATGTATCGCCAAGCTTTGATCCCTGGTACACTTCTTTCTCTGCTGTAGAGTATTCTTCCCAGAGTTTCTCAAAGTAATCTTCACACTGCTTGAGAACAAGTGAAGATGAACTGTAAAATGTTCTTGGAATAGGTGCTTTGATACCAGGATCTGCTTTTACACGGGCTTCTGAAAACCTGCGGATCCAATGCTGCATGGTGCTGTAATAATAGTTAGCCATTGGTTGCCTTTTGTACCCAGACATTCTGTAGGCCAAACTATTTGCATCACCAGAAATGATGTCCACCTCATAAACAAAACACTCATAAAGCATCAGTGCTGTCTGTTCTCCTGTCAATCGATGGGCATCCACAGCACGGTGTGTGTCAACATGATAATTACAGACTCTGATGGTATGCATGTTCGCTCGAGTAAGTGGAACACGCTGGTCCTTAGGACCATAGTCCTCAAATTCAAAGTCTGCATCCTTGAAGTCCTGACGAGGCCTTGTTTCTCCAAAACAAATCTCATAGATAGCCCAAGCTACATCACGCTGTTGACAGTGACCAAGGTCTTGGTCATGTCCAGCAATGACCTTGATATAGCCATCTGGTGACAATCTAGCCATCACTGCAAGATTCTCCCAATCATTGAAACAAACTGTCCAATTCTTCTGCTCAATAAAATCCTTGGCAGGAACAAGGAGATGAGCTTCCTGGAGAATCACGACATGTGCACGCAAAAAGAAGAGCATATTGAAGAAAAGATTGTTTTCAAATTGCTCATATTGAAGTGACATGGCACTCTGCTTGCGTGGCTTCATTGCACGATCAAGTCCTTGGAGAAACTTTGGTGTAGTGTACTTCTGACCACGAACCATGTTGCCATAGTTCCAGGATAGAAAGGTCAAGGACTCTGAGCTGGCCAATAAGTTGGTTCCATATTGTTCTTCTATTTTACCCTTGAGGAACCTTTTGCACAG